GAAGGCGTGAAAATTTTACCCGTTTTTAAAAATCCAGATCGATCTAGATAATTTGGTTGCATCTATGACTTTAAAAGTATTTAAAAATAAATATTGATATTGAAGTTCAACACACCTGTAATTTATAAACCTACTGTAATCTATAAGATCTGAGTTCAACACACCTGTTGTTTTATTTTTAATTTTTAATGAAACACGTCTTAATGTTTTTGTTCGTGTTTTTCAACTGATTTTTTTTATTTTCTCAGACTACTGAGATTATATTTTACACCTGTAACCTATAAACCTTCTGTAATCTATAAACAGTTGAACGAAACGGAGTGAAACGGAGTGGAGTTCAACACACCTGTAACCTATAAACCTACTGTAATCTATAAACAGTTGAACGAAACGGAGTGAAACGGAGTGGAGTTCAACACACCTGTAACCTATAAACCTACTGTAATCTATAAACAGTTGAACGAAACGGAGTGAAACGGAGTGGAGTTCAACACACCTGTAACCTATAAACCTACTGTAATCTATAAACAGTTGAACGAAACGAAGTGAAACGGAGTGAAGTTCAACACACCTGTAACCTATAAACCTACTGTAATCTATAAACAGTTGAACGAAACGGAGTGAAACGGAGTGAAGTTCATCACACCTGTAACCTATAAACCTACTGTAATCTATAAACAGTTGAACGAAACGGAGTGAAACGGAGTGGAGTTCAACACACCTGTAACCTATAAATCTAAACTAGGTTGAGCGAAGCTCACAAATTTTTACGACCTGAACGGAGCGAAGCGAAGTGAAGGCGTGAAAATTTTACCCGTTTTTAAAAATCCAGATCGATCTAGATAATTTGGTTGCATCTATGACCTTAAAAGTATTTAAAAATAAATATTGATATTGAAGTTCAACACACCTGTAATTTATAAACCTACTGTAATCTATAAGATCTGAGTTCAACACACCTGTTGTTTTATTTTTAATTTTTAATGAAACACGTCTTAATGTTTTTGTTCGTGTTTTTCAACTGATTTTTTTTATTTTCTCAGACTACTGAGATCATTATTTTACACCTGTAACCTATACAAGAGCCTACTGTAATCTATAAACAGTTGAACGAAACGGAGCACACAAGTTGCAAAACTATCGAAGACTGTAACCTACTGTAACCTATTTTGAAGTCTGATCTACATAAGAGACTGACTGCGGAGTAGCAACTGGAGCGAAGCGGAAGTTGCAAAACTATCCAAGACTGTAACCTATGTTTAAGTCTGATCTACAACAGAGAGTTAATGGCTTTCTTCAAAAGTCGTATTTTTTTATTTATAATTTTAAGTATTGTATTTTTTGCGACACTGGAACCATGATTTTCTTTGTAAAACGTGTTTTTAAGGCATTTTTTACTTTGTTGATAATACACTAAAATGTTTAGTTTAAGTTTTACATTTTATTGAGAGAAGATCTTTCAATATTTTCTGAACAGTACATAGAGAGTTCTATAGGATTGTGTGAATATTCCCATGAAGCGTGATCGGCTTCATTACTAGTTTTATTTCTTTTTCACAATTTTTCTTTTCTTTTTTGCTTGTTTAGAAAAAATAATAAATTACAAATTTTTTATTTATTCATTATTTTACAGGAATTTCCCTTGTTTCTTAACTTTACGCATTGTTATAATCATTTTTTTTTTATCGCCTTCCATTGAAATCTTAATCAACATACTTAATATTTCTTTGTGTACGTGTTTGACTTTTCAATAGCTAGCTTATTCTCATTACTTATCCTTTTATTTTTTGAAAATGTTTTTTCAGTAAATCTAATATCAATTTTTAACTAATTTATAACTCCTATAATCAAAAGTAATTTTCTAGATATTAAGTTCATTTTTATACAATGGAAGGAAGCGCCCAAAAGTCTTTTTGAGGGCGTAAGATGGTTTCATTAAAACAATAGATATCTTGATAATGCTTGTTTACAGTAAAAAGAATTAAAACTTTTTGTTTTTACGCCAAAAAGTTTTCATCCTTAATGATTCGAATGAAAGCTTGAGGGGATGTAAGTTAGATGGTGTAGAAGAGATTAAGTAAATCATTTTGATATCGATGTCATGAAGATGAAAATATCCATCAATTATATTTATATAGCTCGTATTTCTTCAGTTTGAGATTTGATAAATGGATGAAGCTTTAAAAAAATAGTCGAGACTAAAATTTTATGTTGTATTGGGTCGGATATAGACTATAAAACAATATTCCAACCCCTGAGAAGCTTAATCCTCTCCCTTACCAATCAAACAAGTTATTTGCACCCTCAAACTTTCAACATTTCCCCAGTCCGAGTCTTTAAGAAGTTTTCATCCTCATTGTCCACCAGAAACATAATTTACGCACTTTATAGAACGAAAAGGTGGAGGAAAACTTTTCCAATTCATGTTCATTTTGATAGCAAAAAGTTTCATCGAAATAATTGAATGAAAAGTTTCGGAAACTTGTTTTTCTCCAAAAGTTTTCTCTTCTGTTTTTTCGTAATTTAATATTTCTCAAGAATTGATTTCATATTTATAAGAGTATGTTTGCCTCGAATAACTTCTTATTGAAAGCTTATAAAAAGTTTTTATGGAAGTTAAGCTTCTAAATCCACACTTATTGTTGGATAGAAGTTTGTTTGGTATATTTTTGAAATTATTAAGTTGTTCACTAAATGACCGATAATGCTGAGAATTGAGTTGGTGCTGTAATAATTGTTAAAATTCATGTTAACCTTTGTCAAGACATCACCTAAATCTAGATCAAGACGAAACCTTTAATTCTGCTTGATCAACTTGATGACAAAGACAAATGTAAAGTCTAAGTTACACTCAGAGCTCAAACTCGACTCAAAAGTAAAACTTTGAACTCTAATTAAATACAATCCTTATGAAAAGTAGTTTTTGGACATTAGCTCCTCTAACTCACTTAACATATTAAGTACATAAATTCAAATTCAACTTTACTGATCATTTAGTCACACTTGACTCTGACTAGCATGATATTAAGTAAATTTCTCATTAATTTGCTTGCCAAAATAACATTTAAGTAGCCGAATATTCGACATTCGCCTTAGGTACTTCCAACACAGTAACTTTTTGCCATCAAAAAGGAAATGAAAATTTAATTTTCCGTCCTTCACCCAAGGCATGTTTTTTTTTGCGAAAATTGTAACTTCTTAATATCATTTGGATACGCTTGCCTTAGACCCATTCTCATTGTATGTCTTCTTAATCATTTAATTATTTTCATATCAAATATATTCCATTTTTTCTTCATAATTTACAATTTTTTTTATATCCCTTGTTTTAAACTTTTTGTCTTCTTTTTGCGATTTTTTTCTGTTTTCATTTAAAAATGTTTTATTTAATAAACACATAATGAAGGAAATGTCTATACTTATACTTTTTTTTTTATTGGGACACATTGAGAGAAGAGGAAATTGTTTTTCACATTTTCTTAGCGTAATTGCTTTTGTTGTTAAACATCGGTTTATAAATATTATTAATAAGCAGCCAATGAACGAGTTAAATTGGTTGATGATGGAGATCTTGGAATAACGTATGATCTTGGACAAAGAAGTGGTGTATCCCTTATAGTTAAATCATTAAAAAGTTGGGTTTTTCATTTGAATTAATCTTAAATTACTTTTATTTTGAATCAACTTCTTGAATAAATCTTGACATTCAAAAACCTTTGTCTATTTTCACAAAAGATTAATAAACATTTCTTTGGATTTTCATTGTTATTCTCTTCTCTAGGACGGTAAAAGTGAGCTAGAATGTCTAAGGGATAAGTCGTCTCTTAAGTTTATTATTTCCTCCGATCACTAGCTTAGCTAGAAGTCTTAATGTGTTTGTTTTTCTGCTTAATCAACAACCTGATAAGGATAAGTCTTGGATAAGTTTTCAAAATCCACTAAACTGATGTTGTACGAACATATCTCAAAACAAGTTCAAAGTCAGTTTAATTTGTTTTTAAACCATTGTTTCCCTATTCAATTGAACTCCAACATCTAATCAATCTTTGATTTAAATTCCACTAAGTACACCTTACCCTATGAAATCAGTAAATACTCTTAATCTGTCTCAATCCTGGAGAAAATAAGCTGCAAAGTTTTCAATAATTTTGTTAAGATTGGTTAAAAACCCTCGCATGTAATATTGAAGGTTCTTATGACTAGTATCACACTTTAAAATACATTTTAACTGAAAATGACGAACATTGAGAGCTTTCGAGAACGATTGAAGTTAGATGTGCTTTAAAATGCATTGTAGTGCCTCGATGTGAACCTTATCAGAACATAACCACAATTTATCATGGACAGTAAGAGCTAATATGAAAATTAGCAAAGATTCAAGACAGACAAACCTCAAAAATCCAAAATTCCATCAACAAACCACAAAACTCAACCATAATAAAAATGAACGATATTTTTTTGTCGTCAAATTTCAAAGCGATTAATACACATAAAGAATACATTGTTGGGTATGAATGAAAATTTTTAATTTCTTTTCTTTATTCAATTTTCAACGACCATGCAAAATGTGCATGGAAGTGCCTTGTATATTTCAGTTTTTTTAAATGGAAGGAAAACAAAAAATAAAAAATAAAAAGTATAAAGAGAATTTCTTTTAACTATACTTGAAGCCAATTTAACATTTTCATTTAAGTGTGTTGGTTTTTAAAAACGCAATTTTTTTTTACCTTTTCGCTAATTTCTTTCATCTTTTTTTCTTCATTTTTTTTTTCTTTATTTAAATATTTACACAAATTTATATTATTTTTTTTTATTTATTTATTTCATTAATGAACATTTTCATTTTCTGTTTAATTTAATTTATTTAAAATGAATTCCTACTTGAAAAAAAGAATTGCTAAATAATTTATTTAATTTAATTTCATTCTTCATTTCTTTTTTCTTTAATGTTTGTTTTTTGTTTTATAATTTTTTTTGTATCACTATTCATTTAAATAATACAATTTCATGTCTTTGCGGGGATTTTGTCAGAAATTTTGTGATTTTTAAGTATTTTTTTCGACCGAAATTAATTTTTGGGGTAGGTTTATAGCTTTTTTGGGTGGGTCTTAAGTTTTTAACCATCCAAAGTATTTAAAAAAATTTGAACTAGTGTTTTGTAAAACTTTATAAGTCAAACTATGCTAGTCAAGAATAAAAACTTCAAGGGATGTTTACAGAGGGGGCTAAGATAAGGTTGACACCTCTATCAACAGTTTCATCAGTTTGCTATGATTTTAATCAAGGGTGCGCAACTGATGAAATGATGTAAATTAATCAAAAATGATCAAAAAAGATCAAAATGTAATTTATCAGTTTCGCAACCTTGTTTTTAATTATCTTTTGAACTTGTTCAATATAAATGCACCCCTGACTCTACCAAATTCTAGTAATGAGTTAAGTAGACCATGTAAGTAGGCCTCAGTAAACCTAATTTTCATGAAAAGCTATCAAAATTCCATCAAAATCATTGAAAATATCCAAAATCTTCAAGCCAAAAAATCTGACAAAATTCCCACAAGGACCTCGACTTCCATGAGAAATCACGAAAGTTTCCCAAAACTTCTTTATCCTTTCCTTTTCTTTCACGAAACGAATGAAAAGAAAAAATTTTAAAATAATTTACAATTAGCTTGCATGTTTGTTTTTTGTTGAATAATTTAATGTACAAAACTTTTTTTTCATTACGATTAAGAAAAATGGCTGTGGTTCCATTTTTTACCCCTCAGAAAAAAAAATTATTTTAAATAAATACTTTGATTTGAATTTTCTTCTGCTACGTCCTCGCGAGTTTAAGAATTTTCAATTATTTTTATTTTTCGTCTCAAATGCAATAAAAAATTTTCATACTCTTTTTTTTAAATATTCATCTTTTTTGTGTACTTTTCAGCCTAAAATACAGTTTTTTTATTTATTTCACAAAAAATTGTTATCTACTGAGATTCATTTTGAGTTTTTATTTTCTGCATCATCGCTTATCAAACATGTGTTTGTGTATGTATATAAATGTTTGTGTGTGTGTGTGTGTTAAGGTGTATAATGTAAAAATGTAAATTTGATTTTTCCTCCTTCTGATTTTTACAAAATAAAATTTCATTTAAAGCTTTTATCATCGTGGTGCGTCTTCCTTTTTGTGCATATCATTCGCGGTTATGGGTAATGGACCAACAGATGGTGGTTTCATTGGACCATTAGGCGGTAGTCTATGATGAGGTGATGGCACAGTCGGTGGATGTCCTTGTTGTGGCACGGGACTAGGATCTTTGCCTCGATATAATGCTGTTGCTTGTGCATAAGCTTTCGCCTCTTCAGCACGCATTGCATCGAGCATTGGATTCATTGGATATGATCTAAGCATTGGATCCATTAATCGATATGGATCTCGGTACGGATCTAGTCCCGGGGGCCAGCCAGGAGTAGGCGGGTAATGTGATGGTAATCCAACAAATGATCCAGGCGGTCCAATCATTCCACCACGTGTTAAATGAGGTGGAGGTAGCATATGTGTTGGATTTCGACTAGCCATTTGCCATGCAGCCATTTGATAGCGAGGATCTGTTCTCATTAACATCTCAGCTTCATCTTTTCGTGGCTCTTCTTTTATCCGAATATCACTATCGCCATTCCTCAATGGTGATCTATCCCTGACTAATTTTGCACTATCATTAAGTCTTTGTTGTTGAAGCATTCGTTCTCGTTCCATTTCACGACGTTCCATCTCTCGTCTCTCCTTTTCTTTTCGCTCACGCTCCCTTTCACGCTGCTCACGTTCTTGTTGCTCTTTCCTAAGCTTCTCTTCCCGTTCACGCTCTTTCCGTTCCTTTTCTTCACGTTCACGTCGCTGTCTATCTCTCTCCTCTCTTTCACGCATTTGTCTTTCACGCTCTTCAGCTTCACGACGTGCTGCATCTAGACCTGGATCTGGTTTCATTGGCCAGGCTGCTGTTAATGCTTGTGGAGGTGGTGGATAACCCATATTACCCATATTTCCCATGTTTCTACTTAAAGCAGAACTGAAAGTTTAATAAATAATTTTAAAAATTTGAATCAAAATAATTTCATGTTAATGCTTACTTTCTCCATGGATCAAGAGGACCGCCTAACTGCATTTCTCTTGCATATGGTGATAATCCACCAAATGGCGAGGCAAATGGTGATCCATAGCGTCCAAATGGTGAAACTCCTAAGTTCAATAAAAAAATATAAGTACCTAAATTAATATAATGAACAAATAATTGAGATCATTGGGGATAGATTATATTGAACATTGATAGCTTAATTGAATGGTAAATTCAGTCCAATAATTACAGAACAGAATGTCAGTTTATTTATATGAATTTGTATTATCAAGAGAACTATGTATCTACAATGTTGTTTTCGAGACAATGTTGAATGAAGATTAATATAGTAGATAAATTCACAGCGAGAAGCGATAGTGAAGATGAATTTATGTCAACAAAATAGGTTATAAATTCAATTATCTCATGCCATCTCAAATATCCGAGATTATCAGCTTTGAAATTCCTCACTCGTGAATTTTATATCTCGACCCATTAACACAAGAATTTTAGTTAAATAAACTCATGATCCCCAGCATTAAATGCTATAAATAAAATTAATTTCATGTCTCTCTTACCTAAGCCTGAAGGTGAACTGAGGAAATTAGCAGTCATAGGATCAAAAGGTCGTCCTTGCATAGAGGGTGGAGCAGTTTGTGGAAAGCTTGGAGGTTGAGTCATTTCATGTTGTCGAACAGATGGTGATGAGGGTGGTGGATACATCGGTCTTAACATTTGTTCAGGTTTCACACCAGCAGCCGAACTTGCCTTTTCAGGATTCTGTTTCGCTTGATGATGATAAATTTCCCACGCTATTCTCACATGCATTGCATTCCATCGACCCGTCTTCTATAAAGTTGTTATTTGTGAAAAGAGAATAGGAAGAAATTTTTTTTTATATTATTTCAGTTTTTTGTGATTTTCATGTCATGAGAATGTATTTCAATTTATTTATTTATTTTTGCTTCAATTTGATATTCATTGAATATTTCCCAAGCTCTTAACAATAAAAAATTTATATATAGACACACAATCAATAAATGCAAAAAATTTCAGATACGAATAAATGAAAGAACATGTTTTTGGCGCAATACTTTAAGCAAAAACAAAATGTTTATGGCATTTTCATCACTTTGTTTTTATTGAGTTTATAGCTTAAGGTCCTTTTTCTGGTAGATTGAGTGATTCTAGTCATGGTAATATGTTTGATGCTCTTGAATTTTGATTAAAAAAGGTTTTTTGGAATGAAAATTTGTTTTTAAGAGAAACTTTGAAGCTCAATGCTTTTAGAACTTTTCATTTGATTCTTGCCATGCTCTAGATTATAAATATATAGCTTTAATTAGCTATTTAAACATAAATTCATGATAAAAGTCCAAAAAACTTTTCGAGGTGAGGAATTTTGAAGTTAAAATTTTTAAAAAACCGTTAAAAATTGTGAAAAAGTATCGTGCCATCAAAATAAGCTTTCATTTTTCGTTCATGTCATACCAATTTTCTTACTAGTTTGCTATTATTTTTCGATTTGTAATGATAAAACTAATAAATGAAAATAAAAATGATCGAAAGCAAATAAAGCAAAATGAAAATATTTTTCAATTGTTTTTCTTCGATCAGCAGCAATTTTTATTTCATATGATATCGATATGATAGACAAAATAGCTTTTATGTAAAATTTTATTCCTCTGATTAATAAAATATAATGAAACAACAAAGGCAATGGAATGAAAAAGGATATAAAGGAGTTTGAGGGGAATCAGAATAGAAAGAATCAAAATAATAAAAATAATAATAAAAGAAATAAAGAATAACATGATAAATGAAAAATAACCTACCACTTGTTTCGGTTTTGTTGGATCAACTACGGCTGGAGGACCTTGCTGCTGAATGTTGTTAAATTTTTTCAGTATAATGAATAACAATATTTTTCAGTAGTGTGTTTCCACATATTTAAATATTTGTTGAATTTTTTTTAACAACATAGATATGATGAATAATGATGTTGATGATTTTGATGATAATGATTCGTAAAGTGTTGTGTATATTTGCATTCATGATAGATAATATTATTTTTGGTGAATGTGTGGGTTTTATGTGAATATTTAAATAATTTATGGATTATTACATGAAAATAAACAAAAAAAGCAAATAACATCGAATGAATATAAAGTTCAATGATAATATTTATGAATGTGATTATTGGAGGTTCCAATTACCATAAAAAAAAGTTTTTATATGTGAAAATTTACGATTGCCAAATTTGAATTTAGAGTAATCAATTTAATTTTCAATCTGGTGATCGATAAAAAGCATTTAAAATTTTTATAAGTGATGCCAAAAATCGTGCCGAATAAATTTCAAGTTTAAAGCTAATTTTATGGTTTTCCAAATCGAGATCCATTTTAAAATGTTCAAATAGGTATTAGAGTTTAAATCTAGATTGAAATCATCAGAAAACCTTTTTAATTCCGCAATATTAATGGGAACCTCTAATATTCACAATATGCACAGCACATAAATGTATGATTTTCTGGTAATGATTTGTATACATTCAACTAAAAATATATGTGTGTTTATATTTGCTTATTGCCCAACTATTTAATGAATAATTGATTTACTCTACTCAATTATAATACCGACATGATTTTTTTTTTTTTTCGTTTCTACTTGATAGTAAATAATGATAAGGCAAATTACAAATATTTTAATGATTTAATAATCTCACACGTTTAGTAGATGTAATTTAAATTAATTAATACAATTATTAAAATAAGCTGTGCTTACCTTCGGTACAAATGATTGTAAATGACTAGGAGGCACAAATTGCGTTGGGCCACTGAGACCAGGATGAAGAATACCCGATGGATATGGATATGGTGGCATTCCCATGAGTGGTGCGGTTCGATAAAATGGCGAATCTCCAGCACCAATTTTCGGAATGTCTTTAAATAGTGGTGGTGGAAATATCGATGCTGAAGGTGCACCGGGCAATAATGCTTGATGTTGATGCTGGTGCTGATGCAAATGAGTATGCTGATGTTGATGATGATGTAGCTCTTGTCTTAAAAATGGGATATTCGAGGCAGACTGTTGAGCTGTAGGAGTTGTCGGTGCGGATCCGCTATTTGAACCAGGATTTGAGTTATTGGCACTTCCAGGTGGTGTAGCTTGGGCTGACGGTCTCGATGATGATGACGTTGGTATCGATGCAATTGCAGAACTCACAGGTGATTGTGACATCGATGATGTTGGTATTGAAACGGATGGTGGTTGATTAAGTCCACTCCTATCTAAGAATCTGTTATCCAATTCTCGCCTCAATAAGTCTGCTTGGTCAGCTGTAAAATAAATATTTGTTTTAATAATTATCAAGTCAAATGCCACACACATGATAATAATACTTACGTTTATTTGTTAAGAGTGATTCCGCTGAAAACGGATGTGAATTAACAGAAGCGACAGAAGTTGGCACAGCACTTGGAGGTGGTAAAGGTGCGGCAAATGAAGGTGATGGACCGAAAGAGGGTTGTTGCTGTTGTTGTTGTTGTGCTACAGATGTTGGTGTTATAGGCGTCGGGCGTCCACTTAATCCTGGACCAGCCATTGTCGTCATAATTGGTGAAGACATATTTGACGCAGAAGAAAGTGGCGGAGGCCACGAGGAGGGTGGAGGAAAGCCAGGAATTTTAGTAGGATATGATAGACTAGAACCAGTATATAAACTCGATGCTGCAGATGATGTAATGACAGGCGATTGACCTGATAGACCATAAGGTGATAATAATGATGCTGAATTGCCCATTATCGGAGGCATATTCGCTGATGTTGGTTGACCTGAAGGCCCAGTGTTATTATATGATATCACAGAAGAACTGGGCGTCACTGTCGTTGACTTTGATGATAAACTACTTACACTGTAAGAGCCATAATATAACATGTTAGGAGAATTTTCATAAGATCTCATTGAACGCATGTCAACTTGCCTAAAATTATCTCTTTCTCTACTACTTGGGCTAAAACTTCTTGGTGAATTAGTAGCTGCCGATGATGATGAAATATAATTTGGTCCAGCCGGTGTTGTGCTATTGCTAGATGACTGTAAATTATTTGTAGGTTGTGAATTGCTATTAGGCGTTACAGATTTAATTGGTTTCGATAATACTAATGGTGATGAATCACGTCGATTTTCAGACGATCGAGGAGATAATGCAGGTGGTGCTATTGGTGTAGGTGGCATCGCACCATACGGATGAGGAGCCATGCCATAAGGTGAGTATAAACCATAAGGATACAATGCACGATAAGGTGGAGCAGCTAAATGTCCTAAAGGTCCGAGACCACCAAGTCCCATCATTGTTGGAATTCCAGGTCCATTTAATGTAGGTGGCATTCCAAGTGATGTAGGCAATAATGATGCATTACTCATTGACTGAAGCTGTTGATTAGTCATTTGATCAATAGTCGGATGCTGGGGCATCGATTGTGATTGTATTGATGGTGGTTGTGGCTGTTGTGGCTGAGACTGTTGATGCTGTGTACTTTGAATTTGCGGCGTTTGTTGCTGTATTTGTTGTTGTTGCTGCGGTTGCATTGAGGTCGGTGGCGTTTGTGCCGTTGATGTAGGAGTATTTATTAAATTGGCATTAACATTCGATGCAGGAGTAACGGGAGGCGTTGATGAGCCCAATCTTGATGGTATTGATATTGACGACAATGATGATGTCGATGATACTGGAGATGGAATAGCCATAACACTCGTCGTAATCGGTGCTTGTTGCTGCTGCAGCTGTACATTACTTGTAGTCGTAACTGTGCTAGTCGCTGGTGCTAATAAATTCGATATTGTTGGCGAATGTTTCTTGCTACTATTATTACTACTGTTACTGTTATTATTATTATTACTCGTTACAGTCGTGGTCGTCGTCATTTGGCCACCCGGCGATGATCCTGCAGAAGGCGATGAGACCATTGTCTGCTTTGAATTTGGTGATGATAGTGATGTAGTGGTGCATGTTGTTGGTAATTTATTATTATTATTATTTACAGTTGATGATGCCGGTACCTTGCCATTCGGTATTGTAGCTGTTGTTGTGCTTGTTTGTTGTCCATTATTCTGTATAGAACCAACATGATTTGGTAATGATGTTAGATGTGTGCTAAGAGGTTCATTATTGACCTGCAAATAAACATTGAATAAGAAGAGAAATTGTAAGTAAAAAATAAAATAAATGTAATGTAATTTATTGTAAGATAATGAATGAAATTCATGCATGCAAAGAGTCAGTAATTGAAACATAAATAATTCATTTTGTTGCCCAAGTCATGAAAGACCATCATCAACATAAATACATATATGCACCAAGAGAGAAACGAAGAAAGACCGACATTTGAACATTGCATGTCTTCACAAAGTGGAAATAAACATATTGCAATTGTTTTGTTCCTTATATCGTTCTCACTCACTCACTCATTGAGTTAATGTAAATGTGGAAAACGCAATCAGTTGAATTGCATGTCAGCTCATATTTTCCATATGCATGCAATTTCCATCTTTAACTCTTTTTTTTTGTTGTTGCTTTAGCTCCTTATGTTTTGCCTTTTAATGTACTCAACTTATCGTATATGTTAAATTGTAAGTATCAAAAAATATAAATAAAAAAAAAATATAAGAAGTTATTTAAGAGTGAGCTTCAAGTCACGCATATTTAACTTTTTTTTATTCATTCTTTTTTTTTGCTGTTTTATTTTACGACTCTTTTATCTCCCTCGCTTCTTATTTTTCTCCTTTACTTCTTTGTTGGTTCTTTATTTATTAATTTATAAATACAGCACGATAATAAATTTTATTCTTTTAAATCAACATTTAAGGGATTTTTAGCTGTTCATATATACACATGTATTGTGTATTGTGAAGATAATATTATTTAGTTATTTGTGGAAACATAAACCCCAAGTAATAAAAAGTCACTGAATAATAAATTTTTCCTTTTCATTGTGAAACTCTTTTTTATTATTTTTTATTTCTTCAATCGAAATTATTCTCATCGTGAATGAGACAGGAACATTGGGTGTTGTGTGGTTTATTAGCAAATTAATAAAGTTTTTATTTGCTCACGAAATGATTTATTGATTTATTACTTTGTTAATTGAAAGTTGCTTGCTTTTAATTTGCTTTGTAAGTTCTAATTAAGTTTTATTTGTCTGACTAGGTTTTTGCTTCTTTAAAGTCATTTGAAGTTTCTGCATCTCTTATAAAAATATCAAATCCATGAGATCTGCATCTTTTGAATTTAATAATAAACTTTTTGCATCGTATCACTTGTCTTTTGCATCTTTTAAATTGCTTAATTTTCAAATTGGAAACATTTGCATCTCTTAGACATTTTTTGCGTCACTGTGACTAACCATTGCATCTTTAAAAATAAACTTGCATCTTTTAGATAAATTTTGCATCTTCTGAACAAAGCGTTTACTTTTTTTTGCATCTTTACGATAAATTTATGCATCTTTTAACAATTTTAGTGCATTTTTACGAGTTTATCAAAAAATATTATTCAAATAAAATCCCATAAACTCTCGCACCACCGCCACAAAACAGCAGTAAAGCAGTAAATATAAAAATAATCCAATAAAGTCATGAAAAAATTCTGCAAGAATTTATTAGCAAGTCAAAATTATAGACACAACAATGAATTTCAAGCAGACGAATAAAAAATTATTTTATGAATGACAAAACAACAAAAGTAAAGCTCAAACCAAAGTATCTATTCTCGACATCTTGTTAATGCCATTTTTATGCCGATACTATTGTTTCATACTTGCTCATTTATAATTCAACAATGCGAGAGTAAAAAATCCAATTTCATGAGGTCAATAATTGGTTTTCATTGAAACAATCTATTCTATTTGACTTATAGATTCCAATTAGAAGTCATTAGAAACAAAAGGAAATTTTCATTATTTTCAATTTATGGTTTCTCGAAATCGTTTTGTCGAGTAAATGTAAGCTTATTATTTCATTTAAAGAAGTAATTTTTAAAAGCTAATTAAGAGCTCATGTATCACCATAAAATTTCTTTTTAACAAGCAATGACTGTTATTGTCTTTTACTGGCTTTTTGAAAATATTATTGTTCTATGGTACTTTAGTAGCTTGGTGGTTTTTTTTCGAAGACAATGAAGTGATGCTATTAAAAAATTTATTATCAATTTTACAGCTACTTTTCTCAAATTTTCGTGTAGTGATTCAGAGTTCAGACATTAAAAATTCCTTTTTATTTTTTGTAGCTTTGCAGTTTTATTGCAAAATTTGTGTTAAATAATTCCTTCGATAATGAAAGTTTAAGGACATTTAAATAATTTGTATAAATGCTAGATTCTCGAAGAAAGAACTTAATTTGTCATTTAGCTGTCCAATGATGCAACTAAGTGAGACATCCAGCATCTAAAGCTCTCTGATGTCATTCCAAATCCAGATTAATAAATTCATAATAAATTATTGACTAGTCTTAATCAAAACGAGTCGCCAACATCAAACTCATTCAATACCCAAAACAAATCAAATTAAAAATGCATTTTCAATGAGATATCATTTGGCTTCTGTTGATTTAAATACTAATTTGAATATAGATGAAGTGTATTGACATTTTTTGTAGCTTCCGTTCCGAGAGTGTTTGTTAAATGATGTTATATGAATATTTAATTTTAAAAGTTTCACGGAGGCTCATAAGAAATGACTTGGTGATATAAGTAGAGCGATTACTAGTGCTTAAGTTTGTTGATATTATGTGATTATGGACATATAATTAGCTGTTACTTGTAATATCATGTTTATAGACTAGACATTTCAACATTGACAAGTGGACTGATCTAGCCGCTGCCTTTAATTGATATTGATTAATATTAGTTGTATAAAATGAGAATAAATTTGTCAATGACTTTATAGACACGAGCAAACTTGATTTTTTTGCATATCTGATAGTTTTTTGCTTGCTATGAATAACTTAGAGTCTGACAAGTTTTTTATGCAATAATTTGTGCGGGGTTGTCTGGATGTTATGTCCAGTTTAAATATATCTCTTGATTTAAAAATGGTCGATTCCGTAAGAACCGACAGTTAAATAAAAATTCATAAAGCCAAGCTCATTTGTTCAGAAAGATGGCTTCCTTCAAAACTTTTTCAACCGACACTTTTACTGCTGCACATAAATTTCCTCGAAAGTACTTCAGCAAAAATCCACAAAAAATTATTCAATTGCAAAACTTCTTATCGACACATAAAAAAATTTATGCTCTTTCCCTTCATTCTATTCAGCTCCATCGCATCACATAAATTTATTTGCTGGGGCAATAAACGTAAACTTTCTTATTTAACATAAAGAAATCGTAAGCAACATTTCGACATAAACGGTAACAAGTTAAGAGAGATATAATATATGAAATGGAAACAAAAAAAAAATATAAAATAATAAAATATCAAATACTGTGCAGTGTATACACACACCAGAGGTGAAAAAAATTACAGAAGTCCTCGTGTTATTGATCGAGGGACTTAAGCGCATTTTTGTGTTAGCGATCAGTATTTGATTATGTAATTATTTTGCGTTCATTTACAGATCATGAGAAGATTAGAAGATCATTAATTTTAGTGTAATTAACAAAAAGTTACAATGAATGCTTATATAGAAAGGATTATTATTTAACGGTCAATAAATAATTTGAAATTTTGCCGTTAAAAGTTGCACTACGAAAATATTAATTATAGTATAATTAAACAATTTGTTGCAATAAATTTCCATACAGAAAGGGTTTATCATTTAACGGTTTTTTTGTAATTCAAATTTTCTAAAGGTCAATAAATAATTTGAAATTTTCCCGCTATAAGTTGCACTACGAAAAAATTAATTATAGTATAATTAAATAATTTGTTGCAATGAATTTCCATACAGAAAGGATTTATCATTTAACGGTTTTTTTTAATTCAAATTTTCTAACGGTCAGTAAATAATTTGAAATTTTCCCGCTATAAGTTGCACTACGAAAAAATTAATTATAGTATAATTAAATAATTTGTTGCAATGAATTTCCATACAGAAAGGATTTATCATTTAACGATTTTTTGTAATTCAAATTTTCTAACGGTCAGTAAATAATTTGAAATTTTCCCGCTATAAGTTGCACTACGAAAAAATTAATTATAGTATAATTAAATAATTTGTTGCAATGAATTTCCATACAGAAAGGATTTATCATTTAACGATTTTTTGTAATTCAAATTTTCTAACGGTCAGTAAATAATTTGAAATTTTGCCGTTAAAAGTTGCACTACGAAAAAATTAATTATAGTATAATTAAACAATTTGTTGCAATGAATTTCCATACAGAAAGGGTTTATCATTTAACGGTTTTTTGTAATTCAAATTTTCTAACGGTCAATATAATAATAATTTGAAATTTTCCCGCTATAAGTTGCACTACGAAAAAATTAATTATAGTATAATTAAATAATTTGTTGCAATGAATTTCCATACAGAAAGGATTTATCATTTAACGATTTTTTGTAATTCAAATTTTCTAACGGTCAGTAAATAATTTGAAATTTTGCCGTTAAAAGTTGCACTACGAAAAAATTAATTATAGTATAATTAAACAATTTGTTGCAATGAATTTCCATACAGAAAGAGTTTATCATTTAACGGTTTCTTGTAATTCAAATTTTCTAACGGTCAATATAATAATAATTTGAAATTTTCCCGCTATAAGTTGCACTACGAAAAAATTAATTATAGTATAATTAAATAATTTGTTGCAATGAATTTTCATACAGAAAGGGTTTATCATTTAACATTTTTTTGTAATTCAAATTTTCTAACGGTCAATAAATAGTTTGAAATTTTCCCGCTATAAGTTGCACTACGAAAAAATTAATTATAGTATAATTAAATAATTTGTTCCAATGAATTTCCATACAAAAAAAGTTTATCATTTAACGGTTTTTTGAAATTCAAATTTTACAACGGCTAGAAATTTTTTGAAATTATAGAGGTAATATTGAAATTATAGAGGTAAAATAAAATTTGAGCAGGTTACACTGAAAACAAAACAAAAATTCATTAATTATAGCATAAATACACTGTTTTAAGATTTTTAAATGTCCGGCGGGCCAATAACTCGATAT